AAAGAGGTTGATTCCAGACATACTCTACACCAAGGATGTTTGCTAAACATCCCATGAACAGCTATCCCTTGGAGAAAGGACAGGCAGAATGCAAGGGTGATGAAGTTTCCTCTTAAATATTTTGCACATGGTGCTAGCTCAGGCTGTTCTTTAGAGAGGGGCTCATGCTTGGAAAGATGAAGGGTTGACGAAAGAGAGAAAGGCCTTCAACCAGATGACTGACACAGTGAGCGCAGCAATGGGCTCAAGCATGTCAGAGTTTGTGAGCATGGCACAGAATAGGGTTCAGACCATACTCAGAAGGAATAACAACAATCTAGCTCAATGTAACAAAGACAAATTGTTCCTAAACGGAATTATAACCATAAGGCATACAAATTGGGATTTACCCCACCTGCTTTTGGAGAACACAGTTCAAGCTATAACAATAAGTGATTCAAACTCTTCCATCCATATCCCCAGTTCTTCACTCCTTCCCAGACACGCAAAAAGACTACATTTCCCAGCATGCTTTGGGAGCAGCCCCATGACTAGTTCTGGACAATGAGCACTGATTGAGTTATGTCAATCTTTTCCTCCTTGAAATACTTAAGAACACTTGTATAATATTTTCAGGCTCTTTTCCCTTTCTATAAGGAGTCCTGGTAGTGTAGTGGTTAAAGCATCTTGTTACTAATTACAAGGTTAGTGGGCTAACCTTACTAGCCAGTTCCACTGGGAAAAGATGCTTCCACACAGATGTTAGCCTGGGGGGGGCCTTCAGAGGTTCCATCTGTCCTGTAGGGCTCCTGTCTTGGTTCACTAGCACTGCTATAACAGAATACCACAAGTTGATTTATCTCACAGTTTAGGAGGCTTCACGTCCAAATTCAGGGTACTGGTGTCAGGGGGGAAAGGAGCCCTGGTGGCCTAGTCCAAATAGAGTTGTGTTGTTCACCCAAAGGCAGTTCAAATCCACTTGGCAGTTCTGAGGGAGAAGGATGGGTGATTTTTAGCCTTGGAAACCCAATGGAGGGTCAGCAATGAGCTGAGTTGAGTTGAGTTGAGTAGTGAGCTGAGCTGAGCTAAGCTGAGCTGAGTTGAGCTGAACTGAGTTGAGCTGAGTTGAGTTGAGTTGAGCTGAGCTGAGCTGAGTTGAATTGAGACTCCACAGGAAGGCTTTCTCTCTGAGTTTCTCAGTTCAGGAATCTGGTGGTTCTGTTTCTGGGTCTTTTTCTGATGGTCATAGGTCCTTCTCTCTCTGCTAACTTCTCTCTCACTTTATCTCTTGTAAGATAAAAGTTAATGCTGGCCACACCCCAGGCAAACTCCTCTTACCTCAGATCAAGGCTGTAACCAAATTAAGTATGTTGTATTCCATTCGAATAAGATCAGGGCTGACCACATCATAGGGATGGTTACATCATTATATAACTGCCACATCATGTCATTACAAACTCTGACAACCATTCACAGCCACATACTCGGCACATATTTTGGGTCAAATAATTCAGTCCATGAGAGTCACTATGAATTAGAGAATTAACAAATCTTTTTCCCTGGAGAATCTAGGCTTTTCATGCTGAAGTGAAGAAGTGTAATAGATTAAACTGTGCCCCCAAAATAGAGTATGCTATAATATAATGTGGTAGCTATGTAATGATCCCCTTGATAAATAGTTACAAAAGGATTAAGGGTAGAATGAAAGCCCCCAATCTAATGTAAGGAGAGTTTCCATAGGGGGTTGTCTGTAATACCTTTTCTCACAAGAATTACAAGGAAAGGGAAGTAAATCCAGAGCTGGGGAGGGGACTTTAAGACCACCGGGAAATTATCACCATGAATGCAGTGGGTCCTTTAGGATCTGGGCCTCCACTTGGGAAATTCCTTGACACCAAGGAACTGGAAACATCAAGACCAACACGAAATGCTGGCCCTACAGATTCTGAAGGAAACAAGGCCCTTTCTCCAGGACTGACTGAGAGAGAGCCTTTCCCAAGAGCCAGCATCCTGAAATTGGACTGTCTGTTCAGGCAGCCACTTGTAGTATTGATTATAGAACCAGGAGAGAACTTGTAAGATATCCTGTGAGGAGTCATAGAGCTGTTGATAGGGTTACTGTTGTCAACTTGAGAACACCCAACAACCGAGAACTAAGATGTCAAAATGCTGAGCCCTCGTGCTGGGATCCACTGTCCTTGAGTTGTCCAGTCCTTCAGAAGACTGTGTGGGTGAAAAAGAAATGTCTGGCATGAGAAGTCACCAAAGTATTGGTGGTGTTTGTTACAGCAGTCATGATGTATTGCGCGCCAACATGGCCACAATCCTATGTTGTAAATCCTAACGTCTATGATGTTAATGAGGCAGGATTAGAAGTGGTTCTATAAAGGTATGATCAGCCTGATCTAGTGATGGCAATGCTGCCTTGGAGATGGCATCTGCATTGAAGATATATTTAGAGACGCTGGCAAAACTGGAGATCTTTTTGTCTGGCTTTAGCTATCTGGCTCATGGCTTCCAGACTTGAACATGTGACCTGCTGCACTTGCCCACTTTGGACTCTGGGGCCAGCTGTCTCAGAAGCCAGTGGACTGAAACCTTGTGTTCCCAAATGCTTTGCTCTTGAGGTCTGACCTATAGACCTGGGATGTGCCAACCTCTAAAAGCACATGAGCCATTTCCTTAAAACAAATCTCCTGATTGATAGATGCAAGCTCCATTGGTCCTGCTTCTCTGGAGAACCCATCCGAAAACAGCAAGCTTACATTCACTGCAGGGTTTATTTCTTGGGCACCCTGCACTCTGTGGCCATGCTCTGCCAAGAAACTCCATTCCTTGGAGAGCAAGGAAAGCCGGCCTAGTCATCAGCAGACACTGACCGTAGGCCTCCACATGGTGGCTACGTCCTGGGCAGACAGAGAACATGCCTGGACTCCAGACTCGTTCCTGATCACATCAAGCTCACTTGAGCTTCTCTTTGAGTCTCACTCAAATCAGGGCCTGGAGACCACATCTGAAGGCCCTGAAGGATGGGGACATAGAGGCAGATGCCCTGAGGGAGGAGAGATGTCCTTTCCTTCCCCAGTGCAGTTCTTGGATTTGTCCCCTAGATGCCTCAAGTTTCTGCCAATAAGAGGCTAGCTGGGGTTGTAGCCTGAGGCCAGCTCCTTTTAGGCTCCCCTTGCCAATGCTGCTTCTATGGGCCCAGTCTCACCACTCCCCATGCCCACATTTTCCTTTCTCAGGTGATGCAGGCTTCCAACCCTTTGGAGCCTTGACTAAATCAGGCTCAGGAGTTAGAGTTCTCAGGGACACCTTTACTTTCTACTCATAATGCTCAGAGCCCTCATTGTGTTGGAGTCTGAAAGAAAATGTCCTTGGAAGATTTGGGGTGTTTGTGGGGGTGCCAAACCAGGAGATCCAAACCAGGACTTCTGTAGCCAGTCAGACTGCTCTACAAGGCAGCGTTGGCTCTTGGTTTGTGGAGGCTTGAAACAGATGAAGTGTTGGGCAGGCTGATGGTTCGAATCCACCAATTTCTCCAAAAGAGACAAAAGGAAGTCTGCTTCCATTCAGATTTATAGTTTCAGAAGTCTGATGGAAGCCTGCCATGGGACAGAATTGACTTGAAGGTATAAACAGGTGTGGCTGTTTAAAAAGAAAACATCACTCTAATAACAGACACTGGAATAAGAGCTACCACTACACACATCAGCCTGCAAGAAACTCTGCTGTTACATTGAGCAAAAGAAGTCCGGCATCAGAAACCTTACACTTACTGTGCACTTATATTTATATCAGGTCTAGGAACAAACAACGAAGCGGGAGATCATCTCTAGTGATAGAAGTCAGAATAGCAGTTATCACTTAATGCACTGGTTCACAGTGCATCAAGCACTGAGCTGCTAACCAAAAGGTCAGCAGTTCAATTCAACCAGCCACTCCAAGGGAGAAAGATGGCACAGTCTGCTATAATCAATATTTACACACAACTTTGGAAATGTGTGGGAATGTAAAACCTCTATGGAAACAACATGACGCTTCCTTAAAAAGGTGGGACTATTGGGAGCTCTGGTGGCCTAGTGGCAAGAAGCTATACTACAATCCCAGAGGTACACAGTTCAAATTCACCAGATTCTCCACTGGAGAAGGAGGGGCAATCTCCTCCTGTTCCAGTCAGATTTGATTTGACGGTACACACACACAAAATAATAAAAAAAAAAATTAAAAAAAGGTGGGACTAGAAAGAATACCATTTGATCCAGCAATCCTATTCCTAAATATATCTTCCCAAAATATGAGAGCTGCAACATAAACTAGCATACTCACACCTATGTTTATTGTAGCCTTATTTACAATTACAAAGAGTCAGAAACAACCCAAATACCCACCAATGGATGAAATGGCTAAAGAAAATATAGTTCATTCATACAATGGAATCTTATTCATCACTAAAAAAATTTCAAGAATTCATTAAATGCTACACAACGTGGGTTAATCTGGAACAAATTTTACAGGGAACCCTAGCGGTAGATGGCTAAGGACTCAGCTGTTAACTCAAAGGTTGGAGATTTCAAATCCCCCACCAAGAAAACCTTATGGGGCATCTCTGCTCCCGCACGAGGTTGCTGTGGGTTAAAATCAACTCAAGCACACCCAATAACGACTACATTCTATGCTAGATTATATATATTCTGTTATTCTACATATAATCATGGTAGTGATTACCGTGCAGATTTTACATGCCATGTAAATTCAATCAAGGGGCACATTTAATGCATTTGGCATTAAAAAAAAATACCTTCACAGGTCCAAGCACCTGAAGCCTGGATATTATTAGAACTGTGGTAAATCGGCTTCTGGAAGGGTCTTCAGCTCCCGCATGCTCCACTAAATTCTCAGGGAAGCTGCCCGCCCCCAGAGCCGCATGGACCACCCATCCTCATTACCACGCCCACTCCACCATTGCCCCGCCCCATTCCCCGCCCACTCCACCATTGCCCCGCCCCCGCACGCCCTACCTTCCGGCTGAACTCCTGCGCCTTGCGCCTGCGCTCTCTGTGCACAGCTTTGGGGCGCTTGCGGCCAGCGAGGCGCAGCAGCTCGCGGCCCAGGCAGAGGCCGCGGGCGCAGCGCGAAGCCCGAAAGGCTGGAGCCGTGGGCCCCGATCCCGGGTGAGGGCCTCCCTCGGGGCCGGGGATCACGCCTAGGCTGGGGGGCACGCGCGGGCAGCGCCTTGCCAGGCGCACCAGCCCCTCGCGGCTCAGACCGCCCACGGCCAGGCCTTCCACCTCCAGGATCTGGTCCCCTGGCCGCAGCCCTCCAGCGTGCGCGCTGCTCCCCTCGGCCACCTCCAGGACGAAGCAGGGCCCGGAGCCGCCCAGCCGGAAGCCGAAGTCCTCCGGCCAGCCCTGGTTGGTGGCCGGCATGACAGCACCTGCAGCACAGCTGGGGAAGGGGAGAAACAGCAGTGCTGTCCACTGAGACAAAGGCCTTGGAGATGCACCCTGCGGGCCCCGAGATGTTCCGGCGTGGGCCTAGCTTCTCTCTGCCTCTCCCGGCGGATAATGCTGGGGCCTGTCTGCTCTTTCTCCTCCATTCATCTTCCTGCCTGGGGCTGAATCTTCCCGCCAACGAGAGGTCGAGGCCCCAAAGAGACAGGCTTGAGGGGAGGAACATGGAAAGAAGTGATGGGCCATTTATTGGCTCAAGACAAGGACTCCTAAGGACATGGGGCCTGGAGGGGCAGGCATTAGGGTGTGTGGTCTTTAGGAGTAGCCCTGGTGGCACAGTAGATAACCACTCACCTGCTAAAGAAAAGGTTGGAGGTTCAAACCCACCAGAACAGCTTCCCTGAAGAATAAGCCTCTGCCTTCAAGTCGATCTGACTTAAATTGACTTTACAAGCAGAGTACAAGTGTCCAGTAGGATTTCCAAGGCTGTATTTCCCCCCCTTTTTCCTTTTTTTAGGGAAAACAGGAACGCAGTCCCCCATTACCATAAACTATGCAGTTGAGTTTCCCACATTTGCGGACATGCAGGGATCAGCCAGCACTTCTGGAGTGCGATGAATAAGGCTCCCCCTGGGAAAACCACCTTTTTGCTGTTAACTAAACATCAGCAGTTCAAACCCACAGGCTGTTCAGCAGGAGGGAGGTGTGGCAGCTTTTCTAACGGTCCTAACCCAACGAGGCCATTCTACTGTCTTAGAGCATCACTGGGACGCAGAGCTGACTGGACAGCATGGAGTTTCCTGTTGGTTTGTGCTGATCTTAGTTTAAGTTCACTGGTTTTACCAATGGGGCTTCCACCTGCCCACATGTCTGCATTACTGTGACTTGTATAGTGCACTCAGGCTCCCATAAACCCCTCTTGCCTCAGTTTTTCCTCCACCTTAATCTCTCTTCAACTTCCCAAATTCCCTTTGTGAGATGTTCCCATTCAGAAATGGTTGGAGCAGGAAGACACCCCAGAAACCATTCATATCCTTGAAGAAAGTTTTCAAGCTATCACAGATTGGAAAGCCCAACTCAGGGTCCACTCTTTAGAAAAAGGCAGAGCCAACCCCTCTGGTCCCCTCACACCCAAGGCTCACTCCACGGAACCACACTGCCTCTGGGCTTAACACGGGCATTGTCCTGAAACCTACCTCAGAGGGTACTTCTGTCTGCCTGTGGATGTGCCTGCAGCCCTCCCTCACTTCATGTTGAAGAAGGCCCTAAGAGCTGACTACCCCCCCTCCACACACCTCTCTTGCCCTTGGATTCTTTGGGAAACAAGCAAGAAAGCAGTCCTTAGGCCCAGAGAAGAATGTCTTTCAAGGCCAGCATGTCAAACCTCTTCAGCCTTGCTTTGGGACATGCAGATGGAGTCTAAGAGAGTGACCTGGTCACACACTCAACCCTGCTATCCCAGGGGCAGTGAGGTACATGCTTGTGTGGTCATTGTCACCAGAGCCCTCCATCTCCTCAAGGCTCTTCCTCTCCTTCACTGACCCTCTACTTTTCCAAGCAGTGTCCTTCTCCAGCGACTGGCCCATCCTTAGAACATGTCCAAAGTATGTTAGATGTCGTCTCCCCACCCTCACTTTAAGGATGTGGATTTGGGGCTGCTAACAAAAAGGTGGACAGTTCAAACCCTCTAGACACTTGGTAGGAGGAAGAGGTGTCAGTCACAAAGATAACAAAATAGGAAATTCACATACACTGCCCTTGATGATCTAGTCATGGACGCCACAGTGTCATGTTCACAGGAGCCTACTGGCTGCTTCAACTAAACCCAAACCCACAGCCTTTGAGTTGATTCCAAATCATAGCAACCTTCTAGTAAAAAGTAAGACTGCCCTGCAGGGTCTCAAAACTTTAATCTGGACAATAGCAGACTACCTCATCTTTCTCTCTCAGGGTGACTAGTGGGTTTGAACCACTGACCTTTCAGTTAGCAGCCAAATGTTTAACCAGTGTGGCACAGGGCTCCCTAGAAGAAGAAAATACTTTTCAGTGGTTTTGTTTTCAATAAAAGGGGGATTTCACAGACACTTAAGACATCACGCCACCAAAGACATTGCGTTAGGCACAGAAGAGATGAAGCCCAAGATCCCCCCCCCTTCACATCTGGAAAGCATAACTGCTTTCTCACTAGATGGCCACTTTTACCCACTGCAACCTGAAAGAGCTCAGTGGACAAACCTGCGCACTCCCATTCCTCTTACGGAACAGGCTTGCTGTGGCCCCAGTGGTGCAGGGGTTAAAGCACTCATTTGCGAACGGAAAGGTTGGTGGCTTGAACTCACAGCTACTCCGAGGGTGGAAGACGCCGCCGTCTGCTTCCACAGATTACAGCCTTGGGAACGATGAGTCGGAATGGACTGGAGGGCACTGGGTCACGTGCTGTGAGGGTTGTTCATCTGGAGAGCAGCTCACAGATCCTGTGTCCTGGTGTCCCTGGTCCTGGTCATAAGAAACGCTGAGGCTTGGAAGGCAGGTCTCCCTCTAGGGACCCTCAGCTGTGAGCAGACACTGGAGACCTGTGGAGCCAGCTCCCATGGACCCTTTCTCAGGAAGCATTCTCCCTGGGGGGCTGTGGCTTGGGAGACACTTTTTAGAAGCTGGGGGGATGGAGAAGGAAGGAGAGTCTGTCCCAACAGCATCAAGGAAATATCCTCAAATGACATCGGTGAGACATAGTGTCACCTGGCCACCAGAGGGCATGGCGCACAAGAGAACACTAAGGCAGGGGTCGCCCAGAGCACCCTGGGCTGCACCCTCCTCTGCTGGGAGGGGGAACAGGCAGTGTTCCTGGGACGCTTCTTTTGTCACTTGGTGGTGACAGCGCTGGATCCTCATGGTCCACTGGGCCCTGGCCCGTTGAGGGGACCACCAGTCGAGGGAAAACGGGAGGTTAGTCTTGTCTCGTGAGGCAAGCAAGCAGTCCTCACCATGACTCTGACTAGACCCACAAAATCCCTCCAGAGAGAGGAGCCTTCACGCCACGCACCCAGCAGAGGGCCGATGGCCAGGCATGGATGCCTGTCAGGAATCTCTGCTCTAGACAGACAGACACACACACATCCCAAACCCTTCCAGAAAAGTCCACAATCCTCACCTCCCCAGGCTGTAAGTGCACATCCCCAGTCCTTCTTAGCAGCTCACACAATGGGTGGCATCCCCAAAATTTGTCCCAAAGCCCAGATACCTGAAATCTTCCACACCCTCCTTCCCTGGACAGAAACGGAATCCAGAACTGGACGTCACCTTCCCTCCCCGCCAGCCATCTACCCCTGATCTGCCCAGCACCCCAGCAGCAGGGCTACCTGTCAGAGGCTGCGAGTAACTCTAAACACCTCTACCCTTGAGCTGTGGAGCCCACCAAGCCGGAGAAGCTGCCAGTCAGCAGATCCCACACGGCCTCTGCACCACGCAGGCCCTCCCAGAAGCCCCAGCCTGCAGGGAGTGCCCCATGGGGACCTCACTCTCTGCCTTCACTCACCACCTGGAAACCGGAACCCAGGCTCCTGGGAGGCAGAGGTTACCGGGCGTCTCAGGACATGAGAGGAAAAGCCTGGGGACCCCATGCTGGACTATCAGGGGCTGTGCCCCAGCTGGCTCACCATTTACAGTGACAGCTGCAGTGGCTGCAAAGGACAAACTGGGGCACCCACAGAACCCGGGGAGCCCCACTGGCAGCCGGCCCTCTGTTGCTCAGGGTCTTGGCACCAATTGCTGATGCCTGCGAGGTGACAGCTGGAGTTTCTAAGGCAAAGTGATCCTCCAGGGAACCTGAGAAGGCCAAGCAGCAGGTAGACCAGCGGGATGCCGAGGCAGCCTGGCCAGGGCCCAGGCCAGCCACCCCTGCTCCATGGTCTTGCGGGGTGAGGGGATCCATGAGCAGAAAGGATGACTCGGACAGGCCCCTTTCACTGGGAGGCTGTGATAGAATCCACCACCCATGAGGCCACCGAACACAAGAGCTGGCTTGAGAGCTGACAGTTTTGCTTTAGAGTAAGAGAGGGGTGTTGTGGGGGGTGGTACTCGGATTCCATGACAAAGCCAGCGGATGGGTCCAGTGAGGTCCAAGAGAGCATTTGGCTCCAGTCCCCACAGAGAACAGAGTGAGGAGGCCACACTGTCACCAACCAGACCTCACAGCCACCCCACAGGGCAGAGTAGAACCTCCAGTAGGGGTTCCAAGACTACACCCTCTACAGAAGTAGCTCCCACATTTTCTCTCCAGAGTAGCTGGTGGCCTCAAGGCACAGACCATTCCATTAGCATCGTAACTGGCTCCCATGTCACCAAAGCTCTTTCTCACTGCCACCCTAAGCCCATGTCCACTACGATTAAACTGGTCATGACTCACAGTGACCTGGCAGCCAGGGTTGCCAGTCTTCAGGAGAGGCGGTGGCTGGTCCTTCTCCTGAACGGCTGCTCGGTCCACGCTGCTACCTCTTCAGGAGGACAGTGCCCTGTGAACTACAGCACCACGGCTCCCTGGGAGCGTGCGCACGGACGTCGTTATGAACTGTCAGGTCAGTTATGACCCACAGCGCCCCCTTGAATGACAGACCTGAACCTTGTCCTATCCTGTGCCAACCCCATGGCCGTTGTCCCAGTCACTGTGGTAGTCCATCCTGCTGAGAGACTTTCTCTCTGTTGATCCTCCACCCTTTCCCCAAGGACTGGCTTTCCTGACAACACACTCCAAATGGGAGACGACGTTTCCCCATGCTCACCGCTAGGGAGCAGCCAGGTTGTGCTTCCTCCAACAAAGACTTGTTTGTTCTCTGCAGTCCGTACTCTTGTCCAACACTGTAACTCAAACACATCAATTCTTCTGTTATCTTTACTCATTCTCAAAGTTTCAGATGTATAGGAAGCAAATGAAGATTATCACGGTGTAGATCAGGCACACCTTAGACTTTAAACTGACA